GTCTATCGTTTGACATTAGTAAGCCTCTAACTCTGTCTTTTGTCAGCCGTCTCTGCACTTTTCATCAACTCTCCCTTACCTCACTTCAATCAAAGCAGCAGTAGAAAAAAATAATAACATATAGTAGCAAATTTGGCGGGAATTGAGTTGAGAACTGTTAAGAACAATTAGCTTTCACACTGACTTTGTTGATAAGAAATCAAATGATTAATGCTCTGTGGAATTCTTGTCAATGTGCTGCTCTGTTTTTTTTTTTTACTTCCTGAGTAGCCATGCCCATGAACTTATCATATCATATGAGAAGGTATTCATGACAGCCAATCATCAAAATTAAATATGATTGCCCAATGACAATACAGTTTTGAATTATGCATTTCTAATGAAAATGGGACATCAAACTTGACATATCAAGTGTAAACATCTACAGCCATGGTAGCAGCTCTTTGAGGCTGCACTTTTGCAGAGCAGTGCTTTGAACTAATCCTGCTAATAATCAATCATGCTAACATGCTGTTAAGCAGGTATAATGTTAATCATGGTCAGCATGCAATTTTAGCCTTGCTAATTAATTAGCACTATGCATTGTATGGGAGCCATGATGTTAATATTTCCTTCTGGACCAGACAGTGTATTGTAAAAAAAATACAGTAGCTCCATGACAGCATGTTATGATGCAATAGTACAACAAAGGAGAAAAAAACAATAATAATACATACATATGGTGTTACCATAATTTTATAGCTGTTTAGTCTCTTTATGCTGGAATATTTTTACCAAGCAGAATTCTGCTCTATTATTGAGTAACAAACATAACAAGTGTAACATGATGGTATCATGCTGATATTGTGTATGCACATACAGTATGTCAAAGCAAAATATTCAAAAAACATAAACTTACTATGTGTAACAAACAAAACAGCGACTAGAGCATGTCTGCTCAGAAGCCAGGTCACCCTTTTAAATGCAGTTCCCTTTAATCAAAGAAACCTTTATACACTTAAACATTACACAAAATTGGCAACCAACACATTGACAAGACTAGACAAATCATTTGACACATCTATCAGCATAATAAGTTCAAGCCTCTTTTTATCACTACCCAGCTCCTTGGTGCTCTCATAAACACCTGAACTAAGCAGTATTTGCCAAAGGGGATTCTGTTTTACTTTCCAGCCCCAGGGTGACCCATGAATCTGTGTGACCTCTGAAGAACGAAGCAAGGAGACATAATTCATCCAGGCAGCTTCAACAAGTCTTCCCTGTGTTCCCCTCAACCTTAAAACCTCGCAATAAATTTAGTGAACTCTGAGTAATAAACTCTCCCCCTAGAGGACTTAGCTTCTCAGGGTAGGAGTGCTGATCTAGCATTACCATGACACAGTTTAACCATAACTTTCATTGTAATTCAAAAGGTGAAATGGATACTAGAGGGGCATTTTTATTCTCAAACCTTTATGAAATAACTGCCCAGGATGCTGAGCCTAGGTAGAGCTATGCAAGCTGACACAGCTGAGAAGAATAGGTGTACAGTATGGGGAACCATGGGAAGCTTAACCCTGGTCACCAACACTCTGCATTCCTTATTTTTGTTGTTTTTCAGACTGATTCCAGTGTTTTTGGTCTATTTAAATTCTATTCTAATGGTCATAAACCCTGACCTTTTGCTCTCTGCCTTCTGCCTACTTCTCCACAGGTGTCATTCATCACTCTGGTTCTCTGGTTACCATGCATATCTACAGTATATGCACACTTACACACACACACACACACACACAGTACATGCCTGACACATATTGCAGTGAAAGGGTGTTTAACTGGAAACACCACCAACACTAGCAGCTCGACGATTCAGCGAGTTGAAGCTGTCACCTGTTAGGAATACACTCCAGTGTTGTTTAAACTTAAGGACTAAAGCAGACATCCAGCTGCTATGTGTCTAACAGGGGAGTCACACAGTGAACTTCCACCTGTTCCCACAGCCATAAAAATGACCCATAGTGGAACAAAAATATATGAGACCCCTTGGAGGTTTTCACTTTTTATTTTGCTACAACACTGAATCGTTGTCAATTTAATGTGTGTGTGGTTTTTTTTTACAATGATCAATGGAAATAAAACTCTTTCATGTCAAAGTGAAAACAGATCTGTACAAAGGGAAATGAACTAATTGAATGTATAAGATTAAATAATTGATTGCAGAAGTATTCAGTCCCTTGGAGGCAGGATTTAGTAGATGAACCTTTGGTGGCAATTACAAGATTGAGCCTGTGTGGATAAGTCTCAGACAGCTTTACACAACTGGACACTGTAATTTTTCTCCTTTTTGCAAAACTGCTCAAGCTCTATCAGGTTGCATGATGATCATGAGTGAACAGTCCAGCCACAAATCAACTGGATTGAGGCCTGGGCTCTGACTTGGCCACTCTAGAACACTAACACCCTCACTATTAGTGTGTGCTGTAGCTCTGGTTGTATGCTCTGTATGCTCTTGGGGTCATTGTCTTGCTAGAACTTAAGTCTTCTTGAAAGTTATGCTTCTCTTGCAGATGGCATCAGGTTTTCCTCCAGGACTTCCCTATATCTTGCTGTGTTCATTTTACTCTTCATCTTCACATGCCTTCCAGGGCCTGAGACTGAGAAGCAACCCCAAAGCATGATGTTCCCCATTACAAACACACCATCCCCACCATGCTTCACGGTGGGGGTGGTGTGTTTGTAATGATGTACAGCATTTGGCTTATGCCAAATATACAGTAGCATCTAGTCTGATGGCTCAACTTTCGTCTCATCAGACTATATAACTGACTATTGAGACTATTGAATTCACTTGTCACACACACTTTCTATCAAACTCTAGAGATTCGATATGAGCTTTGTACAACAGTGGCTTTCTCACAGGCAACAGTTGTTGCATGCAGTCTCTCCCACCTCATCTTGTAGCACCTTCAGAGGAATCACAGGTGTCTTGGTGGTCTCCCTCACTAGTCCCCTTCTTTACGGTCACTCGGGTTTTTTGAAGACGGCCTGCTCTAAGCGGATGTACATGTCCTATATTCCTGTCCTTTCTTATTGATGGATTTAATAATCATAATGCATGTTCTTCTAAATATATATTCAGAATACTCAATATTTTTTTATATTAAATTTATGTCCATTAGTGCCGCTTGTGTGGAGTAAGGGCAGGCATAATACACTTTAGCTTCAGCCTACACCTTTGGTCAATAACATTGTTTTTTATTTATTTTATTTTATTTTGTATGATTATGTATGTGTGCATACGTGCTTTTATTCAAATGGATGTATGTACCCTTATGTTTCATGCTTTTTTGTGTAAAATAATTGCAATTCTAATTTGGCTTGTTGACCAAAAACCTAATAAATAAAAAAAAATTAAAAACAAAACTGTACTCAAAGGGATATTCAGTGACTTGGAAATGTTCTTGTATTCATCCCTCACTTAAGCTTTTCAATAACTTTTTCTCTGTTGTGTTCTTTTGTCTTCATTGTGCAGTTTTTGGCCATACTGCTGATTCATCAGTAATTGAACCCTCCACATGCAGGTGTTTTTCTATTACAATCAAATGAAACTCATTCAATGCACACAGGTGATCCCCACTTAACTAACTGCAGGACCAATTGGTTACACTAGTCATCATTTAGATGAGATGCTTTTCAAGGGGTTGAATACTTTTTAATTAAGGCAAATCATTTTGTATTGATCAGTTTTCACTTTAACATGAAAGAGACTTTTTCTGTTGGTCAGTGTAAAAAAAAACAACACATTGAATCGATCATGGATTACAACATTGACATATTATGTTTTAGGCGTAATTAGGTCAGTGCAATTGGATGTGCTGCAACTGCAAAGACACTCACTCAAAGTCAAAATTGTGACAGTGTCTATAAAAAGGAGGTTATCTAAAGATTATACTGAGCAAATATTTTGCATCTTTCTGTTTAGGATGTAATCCAAAAAAGTTGCATACTTTCTTTGAAGACAGATATAAGTCTCTGCTGTCATCATACACACTGGGAGACTGGAAAATCAATTTCAAAATTTAAAAGAGCTCAGACACTTATTATCTGGATATGTATATATTATGCCTGGGTATTAAAGATAGATTCTTGGTTATTGTTAGGCTCTCGACACTGTAACATGTACACACCAGTACACACCAGAAGAACTTACTTGCTACTTCCAGGGATGCATTGTGACTGACTGCCTGGCCCAGGTAGTTTCTGGCCACACACACGTAGCTGCCATCATCCGGCTTGCTTCGTCGTCCATGGACTATGCGTAGGAAAAAGAGGGACCCGCTAGGCAGCAGCATCCGGTGGGAGCGGGGATTATCACGGTCCGTCTCAACACGCTCCCCATCTTTATACCATTCTACCGTGGGGGCTGGACGACCCTCTGCCTTACAGTTGAGAGTGGCTGGCTCCCCTTTGGACACAATGAGGTCAGAGGGGTGCTCCACAATGCGGGGAGGGAAGTCTTCCTGCCGAAGACGAGACCCTAAAGGGGTAGTGGTGCGATGGCGATAAAAGATAAACAAGGGTTACTTTCAGTATACATATTATGGCCAAATAGCTATATACATACATCATGTGTGTCAATAGAACATAACAAACATATCACAAAGAGACATAGTGAAATGTATCACACAGTGCTTCCAAATAATACAGTACTAACCAAAACAGCAGCAGCTCTGAGGGAGTTAGACAGGCACATTATATTTACTATGTCAGTATTAGCAATAATCCAGTTCGACAACATAATTAGAACACAATCACGTCACCTATTAAGCATTTTTCTCTTGCTTCAGCTACTGGAACTTCATGAGACACTGTAAACCAATGCTGACATGTGAAATAGTTTGTAAGCAATATACTGTAGTTCAAACATGTTTAGCCTTAAAAAGAACATTTCGTTTTTGTTGTTGTTTTTTTTTTGTATGTAGTGCGTAGTTTTTGGGAAACAGTTTAAGGGTTAAATGAGTTCATTCCATTGATTTATTTATTACTGATAATATTATTATATTTTAAATGTACTGTACAGGAAAAGTAACCATTCATATATTGACTATATTCAAAGTACACTTCATGAATTGCCAGGAAATTAAATATAGTGGAAAAACATAGTGTACACGTACATTTAGTGCCCCTTTTTATTTTACTTATTTATTTTTGTATAGATGCCTTTTCTGAGAAAAAGGACGCATGAGCCATCACTCTGTCCTCCACCCTACTGGTGTGCATGTCCAGTTCTGCATGCCTTTACATGCTAACTATTCTGAGCCACTTTCACCACAGCCTCTGAAGCTGTTAAACCACCCATAGATACAGTATAAGCAATACCTCCAACTATACCCAACAATAATAACCAAAAAGGTTGCCTCTAGCCCCTCATACACAGTTGAGGTGCCAATCATACTGGTCTCCTTAATGAAACTGTATAACACTGAGCTCCTGTGGAGCAGACATAGCAAACCTCCTTAATGAAATCCAGGTACACAACTCCAAAGCCTCTGTATCCTCCAGCACTCACCATCTCTTTCCAACCCCCAGCACAATCAAGTACACAGAGCAGCCTGCCTTCAACAATGTCCACACACAGTTGCTAACAGATTCACTCTCCTTTCCCCTTCAGTTTAGTGCGAAATGAATGCTGGAGAATGGAGTGTGAACTCCACCACATACCAGTTACAGGTATGTATCACTGTTTAGCACAAGTATAGTTCAGATTTCAAATCGCCTTTATTCCTAAACCAAAATGCACAAGCAATTGTGCTAAAAACTGCTAATAACACAATATACTGTAGAGAAAGGGTGAAGAAAGACATAGAACATGGAGGAAATATATCATTCATGCAACTCCTGTTTGTTTTATTGCTGTGGGGACACTTCTCTTCATTCATGCTGCTGCAAAAGCACAACCTTCAGCCTTTAATGTGTCAATGGCCCTGTAAAGTAGGCAATCACTGTCATGCTAGACAGTGATGAGCTCCTACATTCCCACTGCAGCCAATAAATCCCGCACAGACCAGTGTTTACCCAGATAGATAACACCTCGCACCTTGAATTGGGTGCGAATTAGATCCACTGGGTAGTGTGGCATGGTTTGCACAAACTTCTATTAACTGTATTTTGTAAAAGCCTATAAAGGAAAATGTGGTAGACTACTTCCTTTGTCTCTTTTTATATTTAAGCATTCAAGTGGTTAACCTTGCTAAAAACTGTGGGCCCTATTTTAACTGCACAATAACAAACATGAGATTTTCAAGATGGCCAGACTGTTTGTTTTTAAATTGATGATTTGTCATCACCTTGGTAAATTTGGCTGATTGTACTTTTATACAGGTCATGTTTTATTTTTATTTATTTATTTTGTACAGATAGTAGGTAAACACAATTATCCTGCATTTTTACAACAATTAAGCCTAGCACTTTACCTTAACATTTTGCCTTTACCCTACCTCTACCTTAACCTCTTTGGTTACTATTAGTTGTAGCTATCCTATCCAGTTAAGAAAACAGTACAATATCATAGCAGCAGCTATAGTGGTGCTCAGTGTTGTGATTTACTCTTTACTGTTTGCAAAGTCATGTTGGCAGAAAATAATGACTGAATAGTTTCTTTGATAGAAATCCAGTTTTCACTGTCTCCAGAAAGTAACCACATGCTGCACTCCAAAGTCTGACACTGCAAAAAGCTTAGACCTTCTCCCATATGCTTAGCTTTTATATTTTACCAAACTGTCACCAGTGTAAATTAAAACGTTCCAGCTTTATTGTGTTGTGTTAACAACTTACTTGAGTAATGTGTGACAAAGTGTAAGTGGTGACTGACTATTTGCTGCTGAGATCCAGTACCAGAACCCATATTGCTATATAGCATTGTTTTGAATTTTAATTTAAATACTTTTATCATCTCTTGGTTATTTCTTATAAGCTATAACATTCATGCAAGTTGGTGGATTTGTTTGCTCTACAGCATCAACACAGGATTTTCACAGTCATAAGTCATCAGCTTTATTTACCAATGAATGGAAAGAGACTTCTCTTCTATTTCATTTCTATTTCTTCTGTATCTCTCATCATAAATGATCACATCATACCACAAAATGTGGCACAGCTGCATTTGCACTACAATGCATTTCAAGAAATGAAAGACAGAAAGAAAGAAATTCTACTTTTGCTAAAAAGATAATTGGAAATGACTAACAGGACTGAAGAGCTGCAATAAACTGACATCCCAAGAATAGCTTGTCATAATAGCCCTGTTTGATGTAGAATCCTTTTGTCATTTGCACATGGTTTAATAAAAGTAAACACAGTGGACAGCTGGGCATATAATGGCACAGTGCTTCACAAATCAGAGGATGCAAATTTGTCAACATTTGTGCCCTGCTGCCTTCAAATGGCTGCAGAGAGTTGATGAACTGAAGAAGAAACTTTTCACAGTGTAAAGTATCTGAGGATTAGTTTATCAGTTTCAGCTAGGTGTACCTAATAAACTACCAACTGATTTTGTGTGTGTGTGTGTGTGTGTGTGTGTGTGTGTGTGTGTATATATACTGTATACAAAGAAAGAGAGAGAGAAGCCATTCATGTAGCTCTAGGCAAGAATTCTGAATTTTTAATGTAAGTGCAATTTTACACACACTCTAGACATTTAAGCCTATAGCAGAACAATATAAACAAGGTGGCCATTGTGGCCTTCAGCCCTTGTTCGCAGCACACCTGGTGCTTTCTTGTTCTTAAGTGTGTTGAGGTGATGCCTAAGGGTCCCTGCAGCTTCCTAAGCTCCCTGGCATTACAGAAAGGCAATATCAGCCTGCAACAACTGGACCAGGCTTTATCTGCAAAGGGCCAGCAGCCAGCATATCGCTATGCAAAAACATGAACACAGATGCACAATGGAGAACATACATACACCCTGAAGGTCATTTGTAGCACCTGTGCTTCTACAAATGTTTTTTTTTTCTGTCAGTCAACCCTGAGGCTGTTCTGTTGTCTCTTGAAAAGAAGGGAATGAATAGCAAGAAACACGAAAGACAAATGAGCATGTCTGTGTAGTTTTGTCTCAAGGAGAAAGGAGATGGATGAGTCAAAACTATGCATCTGACTAGATATTCAAACAAAAATTACAGTAAACAGCTGAGTAGACCACCATAACACAGTATGTCGAACAATAAGCTGCAGGCATTTTGTATGCTATTCATGTAGGTTTAGTGAATGTGGAAAAGGAGGCATGAGGGGGTAAACTGTAAGAGGAAGAGAGAAGGAAAAGGAGAGCTGATGAAGGGGGACAGTAGGGACCTTAAAACAAACCACTGCAATAACACAACTGTGACTTGAATGTATTGCAGCGATGGTAGTCAACCTACCAGTGTCATTGCAATACTATACTGTCCATAGAGCGCATGAAGCGAGGCTCCTTTCACAGTTTGGATTCAAACCAAAGAAAATACAAAAAAAAAAAAAAAAAAAATCACAGTAAAATTATAACCTCCTGCACTGAGCTGTCAGTTCAGTAGGTACTAAATTGGCCCTATATAAAAGTATACCATTTCAGACCCACTGACAAGAAATACTGTATAGCCGCATGTTCACTAATATTCTGAAATGTCAAGGTAAAGAGATTTAGAGATTTGGGGGTTTAACTCAAAAACCCACCAAAATCACTTCTTAGAGAATGTATATAATTCTCTGGTTTTCACGAACAAGTAAGCAGTAGAAAAGCTGTGGGTGACATTTATTAATGCACACTACAGACCAGCTTCGGTGCTGCTGACAGCCGTGTGACAGTCATCTTGCTCTATGACTCTGACATAAAGTCTGCCAAAGCCATTGGCAGGAAATGGTAAATCTCCACCTGCAGTGCTGTGGGATTTACCTGTGCTCGAGTGCTAATGCCACTCTAGAGGAGTAGCAGTCAGGCACAGCTAATAAAGGCTGGCTGGCTTTGTGGGAGCCTTAAGAGTGTGCAGTAAATGTAACAGCTATGTCTTGTTAAGGCAATCCTTTGTTTCAGCCTGTAAGAGTCAATTAGTTTCTTTTGTTTTGGGACCCATGGGCTAGACCATGGGTGAAAGTGGACACTTAATAACAAGACAGAGACTTCCAAAAGCTGCCTGTAAGTCAAATGACGCCAAACCTTTGGATAGACATTTATATGAGGCCAGATCAACAAGGCAGATATCAGTGAGCAAAACTAAATAAGACCATGGAAAGAATTAGAGGCTAAAGAGAATTTGATAGACAGACATAAGTTAAACAAGGAAGCAGAGGATCACCAACCATAGCACCAAAGAGCACTTTAAGGGGAAAATGTAAACTTAGAGGACAATAATAGAAAAAAGGTCTTTGAGATTTTTGTGTTTTAATCCTTTGTTACAATGAATCCACATGTTTAAACTCCCAGATAAATGTATTCATTGATTTATTCATCTCAGTCAGTGCCAGAAGTAGTTTCATGTTTAGTGCAGTTTTAGAAAAGAAAAATGTCATCTA